AGTTTTGATTTCTGAACACTACACAAGCCATATTTAGCTCAGAACCATATAAACCTTGAGTCAAAATTGTCTTATCTGAAGTTCCGCACTCTTCCAATATTTGACCCGAGGCGGATTGGATGTGAATTCAGTTGAAGTGCCACATTTTCTTTCAATCTGAATGGGATAGCGAAAGATAAGCCGAAAAACAGACAGATTCTAAAGCGTTTCGTACACTGACAATGAAAAATGGAGCTTAGCTGTTCATCAGTACAATTATCTCTAAATAAATCTTCATTGGTTTGCTAGAAATACACTCATTTGTAAATCAATTTGGTTTGCATGAGAGACTCAACTGAGTCCCTTGTTTACGATATTCTACAACTGAATGTGCTGCTCACAGGCCGCCTGATGCTTCAGTCGACACGATATCCGAGATATCGCAAGGTTGCTGAAAACTCTTCGACAGTCCACGATCGGTTTCGCCCTTCTTGGGGCCCATCAGGTAGGCGCAGTCCTCGAGTTTCCGTCAACCTTATGTTATACTTGAACCCGAATTGGACTGTTTTCGAGAAATATACTCATTTGCGAACCAATTTGGTTTCCACGAGAGACTCAGCTGAATCTCTCGTTTGTAATATTCTCGAATATCTCGAATAAGTTTGACGGAAACTCGGGGGCTGCACCTACTTGATGCTCATCAAGAAAGGCGAAACCTGTCGTGGGTTGTCGAACAGTTTCCAGCAACAGTAGTTTCCTTCATTGGTTCACTTGTCAGGTGAAAATTTTTATCCTTTTCGGCAACTGCTACCTGGCCATATATAGTGAACTAAAGCAAGAACGATATGACTGTTTAGTTCGAGGTCTCTCAAATCATTTTATGGGGGATTCCCTCCGAAGAAGCATGACTGAGCTCCAGGAATATGCCGAATGATTGAAGCCCTTGAAGTCCCAATAACAACGGGGACTGATCTTTCTGTGTATATTTTTCACCGGTTAGTGAATGTTGGTGAATGTTGGCGACGAGGGTTCCAAACTATCTGGAGTAAAACAGTTCATAGGCAAGTATTTTGTTCGACGGCATTTGCCACGCGAATTACGCTATGGATTTGTTGATCTGATCATCCACGGAGCGGTCGTTTGATCGCTTGTTGTATCTACTCTTATGACGTAGGCGTTTTTTGTGTATTTTGTCTCAACTTGATTCATTCTTTTCCTCACATTTTCCGCTTTTATCGCTATTAGATGATGATCCCGAACTACGAACGTTTTCCACCGAACAGGACTTTATCAAACAAGCGGCTGTTGTCCACGATTTGCCGAACTGAACAACCACGTGACAAGATTTGAGTGCAGAAACCAGCGATCCTCCCAGTTTTGACCATGTGTATTCAAGTCCAGTCACCCTCGTGTACTCCTGTACACGGTTGATTGCTTCATTGATTTGACCTGTTCTGGCTGAGTCATTCACACTACATTCACCATCATCATTTCGTTTTGGGCACTTGAGCCCAGCGGTAATGCAGTTTCAGTTTCCACCTCGATGAACACTAGTATTTAGGTTACCAATCTACATCAAACCATGAAGCTAAATCCGCTCCATCCCTTGAGTTGTGTGAAGCGTCAGAGATAATCTTTTCATGCTGCACGTTCTTTAGCTATTTTTCGAATCGTTTTCGCGGAAGGTTAACGCAACATTCAGGTCCGCTAATGATGGCATTTTGGTGATAACACGAAGACATCAGTCTAACCTGAATCTCCCGTATATTCAAACTAGACAGAGTTGGACCCTGTAAAAACACCACTTGAGGGTAAATCAGTCGTTAGACAGAATCTTTTGCTCACAATCTGATAGTCTGTTATTCCTTCTAATGGTAGTGCACGCGTTGACCAACCTGCAATAGAACTTACGGTGATGGTGTGACATCACCGGAGCTATTTACTTTGGTTCCAATTACCCCATGAATAAAACAACTCATTTCAGAAATGTGGCGAAGGTGCATGGTTTTGATAAAACACTCTAACGGTAGTACTAGCACTTTTACGCCCGACAGTAACAAGACGGGGAATATCGTAAACGGGGAATTCATCCGAGTTATGTGCCAACAAATCAGAAGGTATTGTAGTCTACACCCGTTTAGCTGTTCAGTTGCAAAAGCAAACTTAATGAAACACATTTCGGGGGATTAAGTCTACCAAATAGGTACCAGAAAAGGCAAAACCTCCAGTAGGTTGTGCAGAATTCACGAATGGTCTTTAATTTAATTAATGTAACCAAATTTGATTTTGAGAGAGACTCACCCGGAACCCAGCTGAATCGCTCGTTTGTGGTGTTTGCAGGCAAGTGAATGTGCCGCACCAGGCTACCTCATGTTCCAGTCGCTACGAGATATCGCGATACATGTATAATTTTAATGTACCACTCAGAAGGTTGCTGAAAATTCGTCTACGAATTTGCATTAAGAAGGTTGCCTTGTGAGAAAATTAAACTGGCTTCTGAGAGACATGTAATAGATGAGGCAGGTACATGTCTATAGGTTCTTAAAACGCGCGGTCAACTTCATCTGTGCAAACAGATTAGTTGATTGCGTTCAACTGGCTTGCGTGAGCACGCCAATCTAAGTAGCCGGAGCTTCCTAGTTAATTGTATCGATGTAAGCTCATATCTGCTAGAGTGACTGCCGTGCGCTGCAAAGCTACTTGGTGACAAGTGAAACTGATTCGTGTTTGACTTCATCCACAAGAACCAAAATTACTTTGAAATTTTTACTTGGTATTTTGACACTGGCATAACGCCCCTTTCCATTATACGTGAAGCTCGTTAGCAAACCTGGTGAACTGCAGACAGTCATAGACAACGCAGTAAAAGCGAGACACATTCAATTTCTTAGTTGCTCAGCTCTCTGTAAAGATTCATTGGATTCCTCCAAGAGAATGTGAACTCTCCTGCAGATCAAACACTCAGACAACACGGGCTCGACTCACAGCAAACTGCATGTGACTGCCCCTCCTTCACTTCACTGATCTTAGCGTACGGGCTTAGCAAGTTTAATGATGCGTTTGTGCTGGCAAACAAGAAATCATTCATGGTAGTGGTCTCATTGACAGTCCGGTGAAACGGCTTCCATCAGCCAAATATTCGTTTCGTCTCACACCTATGCACAAGATGTATAAACTGGTGTGATCCTCGGAAACTGGACTTTACCATTACGTTAATGACCGCATTCAGCTGAAGTTTCAAAAAACCTGTGTGTAGTGCTAACAGCAAAGGTGTAAGTACACTTGATACTGTGAGATTGTTGCTTCGGATTCCTAGATTTCCAGTCCTGCAGCCTTCTTGATATAGTCCCCGTCCCAAACAATAAGTTTGAAAATCACACAAATATTGCCATCCTTAACTTGGCACTTTCAGGAGGTTTCTCGACGGTTTCTTCTTTCTGAAAGCTTCCTTCCTTGTTTATCTATGTCTGAGTTCAGCCCCATTTGAAATGCAAAACTCTTTGTTCTGAGAGTAACGCTTTCTGTATGAAGGCTTGGAGTTTCGGGCCAAATGTACATCCGTGTATATACACAAATGCACAAGAATGTGATCTATTGTTTAGGTCACTGGTTTTCTCTTTGGTAACATGACTCTCTTCTGTAATGTTTGCTTCGTCAGTGACCCATAGCAATCCGATTAATTTGTAATTCGCGTAAATTGGTACCTTGACGACTCCGCTTCTTAGTATAAATCGTTACTATTTGGTGTTCTGACCTACACTTTAGCGTATCTGGTGAACCGAGACTGTCCCCCTCCCCGTTTGTCAGTCTTCTGTGTCCCCGGTACCAACCTACGTCAGGTTGGTTCAAAGATACCTGTCAGTTAGTCACCCATGCACTCGGACAGGTCACGTTGTTGGCATCTTGTCAAACGACGTCATTTTGCGTTCGGTCTTTACCACGGGCTGAACTGTTGTCCACTCCGATGTTGAGGCTCACAAACCGTGTACGAAGTGTATTGGTTCCATTTGCTGCAACCTCATTCACCGAGGATAAGAAGATTAAGGGAATAAGGGACAAATGTTGGAGGCGATTGCTCAGTCTGTGTGACCAATGGACCTGTTCACTCAGTATGGCAAGAAGTGATGGTGATAATTTTGATGCAAGTCCGCCATTGGCTGCGTGACACAGCCATGGCTGTCAGGGTCACCAAACACTGGTTAGTTTAGTTGAGCGGATACCATCTGAGAGACGTCAGTTAGCAAGACGAATGAGCTGGGTGGTAAAGGCCTACATGATTCATTATCAGGTCATGAGCTGACAGGCCCTGTGTCACGTACATCCAACGCATGGCTGGGTAAAGAGGGCCCTTTAGTTGGCGAAGCTAACGAACTAACCATCATATCTCGTAGAGCGTGACCAGCTAATCCATCGTGAACTTTAGGAAACACCATCTGCCGTACTTCCGCATTACTGATCCAATGCCACATCAGACACGCGCAATAATTCGGAGCCACCATTTCACAGGCAACTGCTACATTCCTGATCCATAAAGTAAGACAGATGGGACCGCGCTATTGTCCAGTGTGCTCTTGACAATCGAGATGACATCACGTCAACGCCGCAGATGTCGGAGACAGGCAAACGCCGCCCCGGCTTTTGAAGTTCGGCAGGTGACTTCCACTTTTCTCAGTCCGCCTGGACTTATCCAGCTGTCCGGATAGGCAAACATATCTACCTTATCGATCGATTCGCTAGCAAGTATGAGGTTTGGGTTTGACCCCACCCGGTGTTCCAGGATGTCTTCACAATTCGCAGGTGCGAAGCATATACTACGAAACAAGATTATTTCAGTTAATTGAAGTAGTTTGCATTTCTAAAGAAGGATCTGATCGAAACATAATAATATCAGCGGCAAACTAAATGTCAGAGTGCAAATGCCAGGGGGAATATGTATATAGATAGATAAAGATGAAGTTGATAGGAAAGACTGGTTGCTAAACCGGTATAGATACCATTACCCGCCTTGAATTGCAATTAAGCGAAAACAAAATCCGGTTTTGTGAACGGTATTCCACTCAAACCACATCCAATTATTCCAGTTGCCAGTGATGCCAGTTTTAATGGCTATTACACCTTCTTTCTGAACTTGTGGGATCTCAAAGCTCAAGGAAATTTTCCACCGCCAATCGGTTACCAAGATCTTGTAAGAATCTTATTTGTTGGACGGTTGGCTGTTGAGTTTTTTGCCTAGCTTCTGCCACCAGGTACCAAAATGAACAGCACAACATCACCAGCTTGGTCACAATGGAAAATATGCCCAGGCTACCAGTATCCGCATAAGGAGTGTAACATTTCAAAGCTTTCGCGGTCTTGCTGCGATGATAAATCCTTTCATCTAAGTGCTTGCTGCCTGTACTTAAAACACATCAGACAAGATATCCGCCAGCGGGTTGACAGTTTCCCGACAAACCTGGATGAATCTACGAGGTTGGAAACCAGTATGTTTGCATCGGGAAGAGGGACAGACTTGACAGAAATGCAATTAGTGGACTTTATCGCATCTTCGTCGTGATTCTTGATAGTCTAAACACTAAAAGCCATGCCGTTTCGCCGTACCGACAAAACGAGATATCATTTGTCACAAATGGTCAATTTGAAAGAAGTATAATGTACAAGAAGAATATTCTGACAGGAGTACTTGGACCCTGTTTTCTTTTATGAAATCTCATCACTGTGCCCAATTCGCTCATGAAAAGTTAGAGTAATTAAGAAGCAGAGAATAACCAAACAACATTCGAAGGATGAAAGAGTAAAAGTAGAGTGAGACGAGCTGGAAAGATTTTATTATGGAGATTATCTTTCCAACAGGGAATGATGTTGGCTGACCTAACTTTTGAACTGCCCGTGAAGGCTGTGTTTTTATGTAAATAAAATAATAAATAAATAAATAAATAAATAAATAGTCTGTAAACGTTTATGAAGCTATGTTCACAGAACCTCATTCACCACAACCCGACCCTGCTTCGTGGCTAAACTTCCATTAAGCAGACTGTCTATTTCTGTTTTCTCATTTTTTCCCCATTTTTATGCACTGTCATGCTCAGTGATCTGTTTGCTGTATTTCAGTTGTATTGTTAGTTTCCAATTACAAGTGGATAGATTTGCTACTGGTCAACCTGAGCGCCCAGTTCTCTAGTGGGATAGCTGAAAGCAGTCACTTACAAGGCTTCCTTGCTATGGTTCATATCGTACTACAACGTCATAACTATCAGAAACTGCAGTTCTTTAGACTCTTACAGTCCTGAGCTTACCAAACGCACCAGTAGAAATTCCGGATTGCTTGAGAGGTGTTGGTAAAGCGTCGATCGAAATAGTCTGTAGGACCTCAAAGACTGTTATTGTAATTTCAAATGAGTTTTGCACAACCAAATTTTTCTGTGGAGGACTGAGCGGTAGGAGCTCATCATGGATGAGCTTCCTTTGATAAATCACCAGGGTAAAGTAACTGGGATACGTTTTGCAGCCTTCGATCTCGCTTGCAGGGTAAATGCTCTGTTTACTTTCGTTAGCTCAAAATAAAAACGCTTATTTTGGTACCAATAAAAAGAAAATTAAGTAATACAGGACGTGTGCATTCAAAAATGCAGTCGTCCATGTGAATTGTAATCATAAATTCATTTAATTTCCACAGATTAATTCTTCGGGGGGCATCTGAATCACCAAGTTTCCGATTTGACTGTCGACCTCGAAGGGTGGCCATCCACTTTCGGCTGAGTGGTTAATTGTCCAAACGAGTGGACGGGAGGTCGTGAGACAACACCTGCTGAGAAATTTCAGTAAGGATTAAACGAGCGTTTAGTAGTTCTGTTTTTTTTTACAGCATAGAATGACCCCCAGACAGGACAGAATCTCAGTTCACAATCCCCAAATCTTCGCGCATTCTCATAAGTGCTTGACAGCTCATTAGTTAGAGCGCGAATTTATTGGCCGGAAGGTCCGTTGTTCGAACCCGACCTCTCCACCTCGACTTCCCCTGTCTAGGTTTGGGCAACCTGGCATTATCCCAGCCCTCGTGCTTCCTTCAGGTGGCACGGCAGCTAGGCACCGGTAGGGTGTTGCCGCTAAACCATTTTTTAAGTACTTCATTGCGCTCATTCTCTGTGCAAACACGAGCGACGCATACTTGCGAGTAATTGATCTGTTTCTGAAGAGCACTAAGATGGGAAAATCAAAACCGGTTTAACTCAGTATTATAACGCGAAGATTTGACCATCTTTGCTTAAACAGCAAGTGTCTAGGCCTGACTACACACAAATCTTCATGCTAGAAAGACTTTCTTGTGCTCTGTTGAGCCACAAATCTAATGCCCATTAGATTTGCTTCCTGGCCCATCTGATGACTGATCTTTCATTCTGGTTATCGGCATTCTGAATCATTTTTTGTGCATACTTCGGCCCGTTCTCAAGTGATTCGATGCCTAAATTGTATGTGGTTTTATTTAGCTTGCCCAAAGTTCCGCAGAAGAGTGCAGTAATGGTCTCTGCTGCCGTGGTGGTACAGATTAGAGGCCCATGTCAAAGTGAGAGTGGATGAAGAGTGAAGTCCTGAAGCGCGCTCATTCCGTTTCGGTCAGTAGACTCAGGCGCAGGATCTATATAAGTCGATAACTTTTTGTTCCTCTCGGTTAATTATCCCTGTATAACAGAATTTCTGTGCAACACCAATTCAAGTTAGACAACCGGGAGATTTGGCATCTTTCATGAGTAATCTTGTGCGCTCATATGCACCGATTCTCGGTTCGAATCAAGTCACCCTTCTTGGTGTGTCGATCGGCTAGATCAGATCATGTCAAGTAAGTGGAGTTAAGAACAACCAACCGACCACATGGACAATTGGGACCAAAATGAATTTGGATCTCTGGCCAGCTCGATGGGATGACAAGAGAACGTCACTCCAAGCCACATTCTCCGTTGGAATAGCGACTGCAAGATCAGAGGATGGATGGTCTTTCTCAGCACACGTTTGTCCCAGAAATAGGATAAATCATCAATCTCTTCAGATGAGTTCTCTTGTGCGCAGTACAATCACTCAACTTTTTCAGATAAACCCGCAGGCACCGTGATGTCATACCACAAGTGATCAGAGATTAGTTGATTCTCTGTATACTTCCAAGAGATCGTGTCGCACTAATAGGCTTAAGCGGTGCTAATTCGCGCACGTACTCCTGTCAGTTAACGCATGCGTCAACCATAAGCACCGTCAGTAAGAGCAAGCACAGTGAATGATTTGATCAGACATAATTTTTCAGTTCCACGAGGCTGTCCTGCCAAATAAGTAGATTTTTTCAGGTAATTCTGGACCTACTTAGAAAGGTGGTACACCCTATTCTATTGACGCGGTCTGTCTGAATTACGGCATTCTTATACCAGCTTTATAGGACTGCAAGTTTACTAGAGCCCTTTACCGTTACTTATCGAGCCTCACACACCTGGAGCAGATAAAATCACTCCATTGAATGCGCCCAATGACAAATCTAATGAATTCATTAACTGTACTCGTGTTTTAAATGCCACTGATTCACATGGGAATCCTGATGACCTACTGAAAACAGTCTAATTTAACGGCCAGACATGACAGTCACGTGACTGAATTGCCGTCAATTTTTATTGCATCTTACCCAGCCGGTCATTCGAAATGCAAAAAGTGAAAATTTAGATGTCAGACCCAAAAGTCTTCAACCTGAATGCAAAAACAACTGGAACCAAAACGACTGATTCAAAGAGATACTTGCGTCACAGTACCCAAATAAGGAAAGCTCTCGAGAGATGTTAGTGTGAAATTGGACTCGGTATTAGCTGTTTTTTAGTTCGAAAGGTGAGTAATTTCGAACTTCACCTAGTACAACGAGAAACCTTTTTTCACTATATTCGTCCTCCATCCGAATTCACATATGCTGATTCCGACTCAGAAGTGCACTTTGTTTGAGACTTTTTCGTCCAACTGGAATTTTTCGCTTCTACCCCAAAAGAACGGAATGCAACTGATTTCACCACAAAATCGATCTCACAAGAGAAAATTGACTAAATTTCACCTCTTTCCGGACTGTTGTTCCTTGTGTATCGTGAATTTCTTGCCAGGTATTAGGAGACTGAACATCGCAGATGACCTTGTCACTGACACCACTGAGTGCTGGCAAACATCTTTCGAAGATGGTTATGAACATGCATTCGTTTCAACAGCCCATGACATTCTTCGTCCTTCTTAGGGCTCATCAGATAGCCCCGAGTCTTCGTCAATCTTGTGCTTTACTTGAACTCAAATTGGACAAATTTCGAAAAATACACTAACTTGCATATCAATTTGGTTTTGACGGGAGACTCACGTGGAACTCGGCTGAACCTTTCTTTTATGTTTTCAACTTTAAAATGAGTAACTTTCGCTGAATTCATATCTCTCATAAAATACGTTTTAGCTTTTAGTTCAAGGTTTCAACGGGGGAGTGCTGGTCTATCTCTGTCCAGCTAAACGTATACAGACCCCCTACAAATCAGTCTATTAATTATGGCTTAATCGGGTGATATCATGATTAAAACTCAGGGTTTAATTAACACAATTTGAGCAGATTTGGATGCCCAATGTGTACCAATGTGTACCAATGCTGTCATGTTTGCGAAAGAATCTTTGGTGATCTCAAATTCATATTTTTGCCCGCGTTAGTAGAACTGCATGATTTGTTTCACCGGTTTCGAATGTCGCAAGCTCAGTCTGACACAAAGAAGCAAGTGCATCCTAAGAAAAAATCTTGAGAAATGATGCGAGGGGACAGAACTTTATAGAAAATAACCAAACAAAAAAGGATTGTTCTGGTGATAGTGGGAATTACTATGTGCTCGCTGAAGTCATGACCGCAGGTTAAGAGGCAATGTGTTGAATAAACGCTGTCCTGCTCAGGTTGGTGGTGATGGAATATCTAGAGTTATCTTCCTGGTGAAGTTCCGGCCCCTCTGTGCAGCTCACGCTGACAAATGGTTCATTTAACCGAAGAATCCGCGCCCACCTCACTAAGCCAGGATCCTGGCTATTACAAAAGAATGAGCTCCACCAATAAAACGACCTCACATCACACAGAGAGACCCAACCCCCAGGTGCCCTACTGGATGGATAAAACAGAACATTAGCAAAATAGACGAAACTCCGCTGATGCTGTGATGTTCGTATCGGAATTGTCATGTTTACGAATGATTGGTACATTAAATTTCGGCCGGGGCCAAAAGAATGTCAAACTGTTACTAACTAACGTATCATGTCACCCCACCCCATCCCCCTGCACAAAAGAAAAAACGACCAACTTGGTGGTACCACGTGATCAACATTTTCATTTTGTGAAGTCCTTTAAATAAGCGGTGACAGACTTGATGATTAGAAACGTGTCAGATTTGAATGACTTAACTGAACTACTGACAACATTTCAGTGCCATGAATGTAAACGAGACAGTCTGATCACTGAAGGGAACACACGTTGTGACGAGGCTCCAAAACACGACCCAATGGAGGAATCTGACGTCTGTTGTAGCTACCCTCTTTGCCTAGGATGATGACTGTATTTGCGCACCAACTTGCTAGCTTCCGCCTCCAATGCGCAGCTACCAACCCACCTCCCCGAATCATCGGTGAACGAAACTTTGTCAGGTAGAACCACTGTGCGACAAGTAAACGGTTCTTACAGCTGATGATGAAGATGATGATGATGATGACGATGACGATGATGATGATGATGATGATGATGATGATGATGATGATGATGATGATGATGATGATGATGATGATGATGATGATGATGATGATGATGAAACCAAAGTATTACACCGGTTGTCCAAACCGGTCTGCGCGCGCTTGGGGAACCGCATGAAACTGATAAGTTTTAACCGAGATTTCGTCCTGTTAGTGGAGCCATTTTATGCTGAAGGACCGAGAAACGTTGTACAGTTGTTTCATCCTCATTGGGAATCTTCAGAAGTACACTAGCGAAGAAAACTAGAAAAGTTCGAATCCCTGCCTGTGGTTGGACACCAAACTTTTCGGTCACGAGTTAGCAAACAGTAGTGGTTAGCTCTCACCTGATTTCTGTGGGTCACCATGATAAATCACAGTAGCGAAGAAGGGGCTGATGGTATAACCGTGTTTAGCATAGACATCAGGCACGCATCCGAAGTTCGATGCTTGGTAGCTAAAGGTTCCGCGTGAAGACAGATGGTTGGTTCTTTTGTGAACTTTACCATCAAAACAACACCCTGCTCCGGTACTAAGCAAAAGTCGAATATAAATAGTCTGGTTTCATTGAGCAACACACATCAGTTGTCCTGCTGTCGACTACATAAATTGAATTCCAAGCTTTATACCAAAAGTTAATAGAAAGCATGGAACCGCAGAAGGAACTTAGTGATAGGGGAGCAGCTGGGAGGTGAAGCCTCGGAATATGCTCATTGTCTGTTGTAGGATAAGACAGCTGTTGAAAGAATCGCCCCGTAGATAAACGGGTCCGATCCCTGCTGTCTATTGGGGAAAAGGTTTAACAATCGAAGGACAGTGACCATTTTAAAGATATCCAGAGATCGATTGTACCTGAAGCAAAGGAGATGTTTGATAATAGATTTACTGCGCTGCTCTCCAGTGGCCCTAGAAAGCCACTTTGTTGAACGTTCTGACGCACTAACAGAGTGCCGCCTATTCCTTATCATTTCATACTCGTTTTCACATTTTGATCCATATTTACACCAAAGGTATTCGATGACCAGAATACTCTCATTTGCAGACAAATTTGGTTTTGCGAGGGAACTGCCTGGAACCGAGCTGAATCCCTCGTCTATGATGTTCCTATTCTTTTTGTTGTATGTAGACGGGCTAAATCGATTGTTCCAAGCGAACTTTGAATAGCAACCCTGAAACAGCGACTGATTTTGGTCGCAGCAACTCATCCGTTTCCGGACAGAACAGCATGATGTCAGTCTTACTTCTACTGTAGAACTGAGTATCTGGTCTAGCTTTCTCAACCTGCACACTATCATCAGTGTACTTTCCTCATTTTTCGAGATGGCAAATAACTCATTCAAGTCATGCAAACGTGTGCTCTGTCTTCTAGGCTTTACCCAATGTAATTCCATCCATGACTGCCTGTTGATCAACAGTTTTGAGTTTCTTTTTGGGTAGTTTTGGTCGGTTTTCAGCAAGAGTCAAAACAAGGATTTTTGCATTTTAAAACAAAGAGATGTAGATGTAGAAATTCATCAGAGTTCAAGATTGTTGCAGTACTCAGCTCCTCTTGTGTGTGTTTCGTTGTGAGTTGATGAAAATTCTGGTTCTAAGGCCCTTCGTGTATCCCAACTGTCACGTGAACATCCCTTACTCCAATAAACGCATTATCATGCCACATTGGAGGTTATGTGATAGCCTAAGCTGGGATATATTACTCACTGCATGAAGCTAACGCTTTAACACCTTCCATGTTTCTCACTTGCCAACCCATCCAATTCTATTGGTGACCATCTGTCTGTTTGGAATCTGAGGACCAGAGACTGCTGTCTACTGATATTCGTGTATACTAACAGCACGAGAAAGAAGGGTGCTCGAGTTTCTCCATATTTCCGCCAAAATTAGAAAAACACCATTGACCTCCCTGTTCCAGAGCTTCAAAGAGTCAATTGTGATTTGAGTTCCAAGCCTAAACAAGGCATTTTCACTTCCTGAGTTGTCTTACACACTACCTTGGGTTTTTTAAATGGAATTTGCTTGACCGTCTAGTTGTTGTACCACTTGTTTGACTCTTTTACTAAAACCAAAGTCATCCTAAGTGAGTGATATGACATTTCAGCTGTATTCTGATGACTGCCTTGATACCTGTAGACAAAAAGTATCTCTTACCTTCGTAGGGTTTCATTCTTGATACGTTACCACCAGGTTGTTTGAACACTGAGCTGTGGATATGACGTCACTTGGATACACACGCAACTGTCTCTTGACGCAAAGCAGAAAATATGATTGGCATTGAAACGCACAGTTGATTTTCGGGGCCTAGCAAGGACTGAGAGATCCTTATCTGGGTATCTCTAACAATTCTGCTAGAAAGCCCACATCACTGTGAGCGTGGAGTTCACACTCGTCCATCATGGAAACAAATTGTGTCATTTTTGTTTCAAACTCCAATCTTTAGCCAAAATGATCAAATTTCCTCTCTATGCAAGCGTCTACATCCACATTTCGGTCTGTGTGCATTAAAACAAAACCAACCCCGAGAAAAAAACTAGAGTTTGGAATCCATTGGTTTAGGTAGTAGCTATACACAGAGAGAACAGGTGTAACTAGCACGCATCAGCCCAGCCAGAAGACGTCTTAACTATTCATCAGCTCACCCAAATTCCGTGTACGCCAGTATTGCCTCATCGATGTTTCGTCGAGTTAGAGCGCTGTGCACAGAAGAGATCGACCGAACGGCAGCTCAAATCGAGATTGCCAACAAACTTCCAGAAATAGGATTCCCAGTGAGTTTGATTAAGCGTCAACTAAGAAAGATATTGGCTCCAGTATCTGGACCCAGTAAAGAATGGATTGGCACAGCAGTCATCCATATAAAGCAGGAACATCGGAGGTTATTCGAAGACTGTTCAACTTAGCAAATATTCGAGTAACTTTTCAGAAGCGAAAAACGCCACACTCAGTTTTGGTACAGTTGAAAGATCCCTCGCCGGTTGAAAGGACTAGGGACTGTGTGTGCAAAATTAACTGCAACGAGTGAGCTAAGGTTTATATAGGACAAACTGCTAGGGAATTGCACACCAGAATGCTGAGCATAAAAGAAGGAGTAACAAACCACCAAGTAATGCAGAAGAGTACCAAACGCTGGTCAAAGACTCAGCGATGGCGGTACATGCCTCAGACACGGGACATAGATTAGATCTGGAGAATGTGGAAGTTTTAAGACGGGGACTGCGATTCACACTACAGGGGCTGATAGCCGAGGCAGTGGAAATTACCAAGCATCACAGTGTGAATCGAATCGAGGGTGTGGAACTGCCGAGCATATGGAAAGCGGTCTTAGATAAGCAGAGTTGACACGTGACGGTGTGGTTGTCAATCTACGTAGAATCATTAGCAAAAACCAGGAGGTGTAAATCCCAACCCGATCAAAAGTCACAACGTCCCTCTTGCACAACTATCTTAGCACTAGCTCATCCACAGAGACGGACAAAACGTTCAAACGACGTTCAAGAGGAACCATCAAATGAACCGAACCAGAAGATCTAGACCCTAGGCTGGACCCAAATACACGTAGGTTTCCCCACCGACTCAACACTGTTCAACCACTCTAATACACAAAAATCCCTCGGCCTACACCCAACAAAGATTTAGCTTTACTTAGCACATTGGTTCTCCCT